CATCCATCCATCATCCATCATCCATCCATCCATCCATCATCCACCCATCCATCCATCATCCATCCATTCATCCATCCATCATCCATCCATCCATCATCCATCCATCCTTCATCCATCCATCCATCATCCATCCATCCATCCATCCATCCATCCATCCTTCATCCATCTTCCATCCATCCATCCTTCATCCATCATCCATCCATTCACCCATCCATCATCCATCCATCCATCCATCCATCCATCCATCCAAGGGAGTATTGGAGCTTTGTGAACACATATCGGTTGCTAATGATGGACAAATAGATTTCCTGTGTATGCTGATCTGGGTGGTATTTATATCCGTAATGTGAATGAAGGCCTATGCGATTTGCATGTTGCATTTGTAATGCACCATGTGTTAGAGCTGCTGTAATGAAATACCACCAATGCAGCAGCTTAAACAACAGAAATGTATTGCCCCTTAGTTCTGGAGGCCAGAAGTGTGAGATGAAGATGCTAGCAGGCTGGGTGCTTCCGAGGGCTGTGAGGATCTGTTCCATGCTTCTCTTTGGCTTCTGGTGGAATGTCATCTTGCTGATGCATTTTGACACTCCTTGGCCTGTAGCTGCCTCTCCCACACCATTGCCTTTATCTCTACGTGGCATCTTCCCTGTATCTGTGTGTCTTTCTCCATGTCCCGGGTTTCCCTGGTGAAAGAACACAAGTCGTGTTAGATTAGTAATGACCTCGTCTTAACTCATTACATTTTCAGTAGCCATATCTCCAAATAAGGTCACATTCTCAAGTACTGGGCCTAGGACTTCAACACACAAAGTTTTGGAGGAAACAATTCAACCCCCTAGCTATTGAAACTAGAATCATAACAGAAATATTTTTTCTGTGATATCCCATTTTCATTTATCATGGATAAATTTCCATGCTGATTTGTGTAAACCTCTAGATTGGGGCATAATATCTCATAGTGTGCTTTGCTATAATTTATTTCATCAAATAATGCATTTTGGGATAACTCTTCTTTTCCACTATTGCAAACAACTCTGCAAAGAGCACATTAGTATATAAAGTTTTCTGCCTGTGTATTTGCTTTGAGATGGATATCTCTGAGTGGCATGAATCAGTCAAAGCTTGGATGCATTTGATGTGTTAGGTATAGCCACGTTTTTATTCCTGAACTTTGGGTCCTCATCTCTGGCTGCGCGTTGTATACTGCCTGTCTCAATATTGCTCAAGTGTCACACATGCTGAGCGCTTGCGAAATTGGTTTCTCATACCCCACCTTCCACCCCCGTTCTGTGACCTGCTCCTGCCCTCTTCTTCCCACCTCGTTGAGTAGCAGGGCTTTCCAGGAGTACAGTCCTAAATGCTCTGCTTTCAGTTCCCTCTACCACCCATCTTTTTCTTTTTTTTTAACACAACACCCGAGGGAACTTCATAAAATGCAAATTTGAAAATATTGGCCCTTTGTTCAGAAACCTTCAGAAGTTCATCTCTGTGGTCAGAATGACATCTTAGCTTGCCACACAGCTGTCCCTGAGGCTGCCCTCTCTCCATTTTGAGTCATCTTGGATGCGTTTTGTTTTGTTGTTTTGGGGATGGGGACTTGCTGTGTTGCTCAGGCTGAATTCGAACTTCTGGGCTTGTCCACATTCATATCACCCTGCACACCACGTCTCGCCTGAACTCCTGGGTTCAAGCAATCCTCCTGTCTCAGCCTCCCACGTAACTGGGACTATAGGTGCACATCACTGTGTCCAGCTATGGATTAGTTCTTAAACACCTTGGTGGCTCTTTTAATCTTCCTTACCCTTGCACCTCCATTTTCTCACTTTCTACCATCCAGCTAAGAAGCTCTTGCTTATTTTTTAATTGCTTCGATCCTCATTTTGTCCGTTGAAAAGCAGGGATAAAAATAACATTCCCATCTTCAGGTTGTGATCATGCAGTGAGATAACCCTATTTAAAGTCATTATTCATGCCAAGCACACAGTAAACACTCAAAAAATGTTAGATCTTCTTCCTCACTTTTCTTTCTTTTTCTTTTCCTTCCCTCCTTTTCTTCCTTCCTTCCTTTCTTTTTCCTCCCTTCCTCCCTTCCTCTCTCTTTCTTTCTCCCTTAGATGAGTAGAAGAATGGAGGTGACTGACCAAGGCCTTTCCCAGGGTCTGGGGCAGGAAAATTCTTGAATCTGAGAGAACCCACTATCTTAGTTTTTACTGGCCTGAAGGTCTGATGCTGGCTTGTCTTCTTGGGCAGTCGGGCAAATCGGACTGTAGGAAGGATACAGTGGGTAACAGGGTTAAAGGGGTGATGGCAGCAGAGTCGGCCCTTTGGTTCCCTCGGGCAAGGCTGTATTTTCCTTCTGATGTCCTTGCAGTGGATTACAACTGCCTGCAGGGGAGCCAAATGGCCTGGAGTAAGGCCAGGGTTTCTTCTTTGTTTTTGATAGTTTTTCCAGCCAAAGTGAGAAGCCCGCGCTCCTGGTGAATAGCTCCATGAACATGCACAGTTGCAAAGGCACACCTGCTGTCAGTGTAAATGTTGATGCGTTTCTTCTTACCCCATCAGAGGGCCTGAGTGAGAGCAATTAACTCAGCCTTTTGCACTGAAGTTCCGGCCGGCAGGGCCTGGGCCCACACACTGTCCGTATCCGTGGTGATGGCCGCCCCAGCCTTTCCCACTCCCTGTTCAAGGAAGCTGCTGCTGTCCCTGAACACGGTAGCGTCAGCCTTCTCCAGGGGGTATCCTGGATGTCCGGGGGAAGCACTTTCTGGCATCGTGCACTGGTGTGGTCAGCTCTGGATCACCCAACTGTCTCGGGCAATAAGGACGATGGGACATACAAATTCAAACACTAGAGACAGACAGACAAGAGACACACAAATCCAGGTGTTAGGAACAAAACAGGACAACTGACACCGAGGCAGATCAGGCATCGAGGTAGATGAACAATCATGGCAGTTTTCAAGGACAAGCAAAGGACTGGATCCTTAGACGTGAGCCTCTAAGGTCCCCACGGACTCACACATGCACACACACATTCAGTCAGAGGTTATTACAGTCTTTTCACACTTTGTAAACAGTTGGAACCCTGAAGAATTTTTTTTTTTTTTTTTTTAAGAGACGGGGTTTCACCATGTTGGTCAGGATGGTCTTGATCTCTTGACCTTGTGATCCACCCGCCTCGGTCTCCCAAAGTGCTGGGATTTCAGGCATGAGCCACCGCACCCGGCCCCCCTGAAGAAATTTTTGCCTTCTTTGTCAATGCTTTAAATTACACAGAACCCAGGGACCCTGTCCTCCAGCATCCTGGAGTGGTGACAGAGTCCAGAGGGGTGCCCTCGTCAGGGCTAAACCCCTCTAGATCACACAAGGACAGAACCAGGACCCCGGACATCCGGAATCCAGAAACAGCCAAAAGTCGACAGAACCAGGAACTCTAGATCTCTAGAATTTAAAGACAGAAAAACCAGAACCAGGACTCTTCCAGAGTCCAAAACCAGAACCAGGACCAGGGACTCTGGGCATCCAGAACCCAAGGTCACAGGAATCACTGTAGTCAGTTCCAGCATCCTGGTAATTGGATGATCCCTGTAACTTCCAGGAATAATCAGATCAGGCCTGACTTACTTCTCCAGGACCAGGGACTCTGAAGAATAATTTGGTGGGGCGTGCTGGGAGTCAATCCACTCCCCTCCGGCAAGGGGTGGTTTATGGGGCCCTGGAACGTCTCAGGGGGTGCCTCCCCTACAGTCCGCCTCCTCCCGCTGGGGAGCCCGGAGCGAGCCCGGTCTGCACCCGGTGGCGAGTATCTTGCTGGGGCCTCCAAATGTTGTAACTGAGTGAGTTAGAAGGAACGCGCCATCCTCTGCGTTTCAAATTAAGAGTCCTTTATTGATTTGCTGGCGACTGAGAGACAGCTAATGCTCAAAATTCTCTCAGCCCCAGGAAGGGGCCTGACTATCTTTTATACCTTGGTTTAGGCAGGGGAGGGGAGTACCTAGCTGAAGCGGAATTTCACAGAAGCAGAAAAGCAGATTAGAGGAAGGGGCTGCGGGCACAGGTGATTTCCATACAATTACCAAGAAGGGGGCGATCAGGCTCCTTCTATACACAGTGTTCAAAGGGAAACTTTTTTCTTACAACAGCAGTGGGGAGGTACGCCAAGCAGAATGCAGTTACAATGGTTGCAAGTGTTAAGAACAGACGCTTCAATGCTCTAAGTGCAGCACGACCCAGTTATGCACCCAAAGGGGCTGTGGTAAGGAGGGGGAAGCCAGGTTGGAGTTTACAGCTAAAATGGAGTCGGTGATGCTAGCCCAGGGTAGGGTATTACAACAGCCCCTAGCTACAGCTTAGAAGGTCACAATGAAAGCTCCCCTGTTGTCTTTCATGTTTCAATAAGCACCCACTTCCCATGAAGAGGATTCTTTTCCCTGTGTCTCTCTAAAAAAAAAAAGACAGGTCCCTGCAGTGTAGGTCTCTGCAGCGTCACAGGCGTTATCTGTCAATAATGGGATGTCCTTCTGGAAGAAGCTGTGCTGAGGAGCACTCCTTGCTGGAGGAAAGCCATGTGAGGAGGAGGAGGAGTATGGGGTAACTGGCTCAGTTTGCCTTGGATCTTTCTGTCGCACTGATTCAGCAAAGCGCCTGCTGAGACCCTCATTTGTCCCTCCTGTGGCAGCCAGGGACAGCAGGTCACGCTCTCCTCAGATCGTGTCTGATAGGTGGCTCCTGGTCTCTGAGCTGAAGGCTGCAGCTGCGGAGACAGGACAAGGCGCTGTGTGGGAGCAGCAGCACAGTGTTTGGGAAGAGCTGGGCACTGAGTGCGCTTCTCCTCGTCCCTCTACAGGTTGGTAAATTCTGGCCTCACATCAGCCTGTTGCTCAGCTTTGTCCTCGGTACTCAGCACCAATGGGAATCTCACGCACCTTTACCTGCGAGGCAACGCTCTCGGAGACAAGGGGATCAAGCTCCTCTGTGAGGGACTCTTGCACCCTGACTGCAAGCTGCAGGTGTTGGAGTAAGTCCTTCAGCTTATGACAGCAATGAGAACACATGGCGGCCAGGGTGGAGGGACGTTTAGACAGAACGACCACCAGATAATCTGTTCTTCTTAGTCTGCCCTGTCCCAGGGTCCGGGGGCTGGGAGGAGTCCTTCTGGATGATATGAAGTTGGACCTCGAGTCCTTTCCATCACGATTTTCTGTACCACAAAAGAAGGGGGCAGTATGACACTTATAGCTTATGGAAATGTAGGGAAAGGCACAGAATTTGGTAAAAAGTCAATTAAACCACTGTTACTTTCTTTTTTTTTTTTTTTGAGACGGAGTCTCACTCTGTCGCCCAGGCTGGAGTGCAATGGCACAATCTCACTGCAACCTCCCCTATCCAGGTTCAAGAAATTCTCCTGCCTCAGCCTCCTGAATAGCTGGGACTACAGGCGCCCGCCATCATGCCCAGTTAAATTTTTTTAGTAGAGACGGAGTTTCACCATGTTGGTCAGGCTGGTCTTGAACTCCTGACCTCGTAATTCACCCATCTTGGCCTCCCAAAGTGCTGAGATTACAGTCGGGAGCCACTGCGCCCAGCCACGCACTGTTACTGATTTCATCTGCACAGTCCGGTGGCTTGAAGAAGATACTCTTATCTGAAAAGGAGAGAAGAGTAACTGGCATACAGGCTGTGTCAAGCTAGTCAGTCCTGTGCTCACTTTTTTTTTTTTTAATGCATCTGAAACAATACAGGCTAAGATGCTAAGATCTTGGGGAGCCAGGGGGATGGTTAAGGGGACATTTTCTTTAAATCACCCCCTTTTTTGCAGATTAGACAACTGCAGCCTCACGTCGCACTGCTGCTGGGATCTCTCCACACTTCTGACCTCCAGCCAGAGCCTGCGAAAGCTGAGCCTGGGCAACAACGACCTGGGCGACCTGGGGGTCATGATGTTCTGTGAAGTCCTGAAGCAGCAGAGCTGCCTCCTGCAGAACCTGGGGTGAGTGTGCTCTGCAGAGATTCCTGGGGCGGATCCCGAGTTCTCAGGAAAAGCTGAGTGTGGTCAAAATCCAGGGTGGCTCTGCTGTCGTCTGCAGCGACTCAGCATTAGGTTGGGCCGGGGTCAGTTGTGGTGGATTTTTAAACACAGAGAATATGAGGTGTGAACTTCACATTCCACTTCATTGAGGTGATTAGAATAACCAGGGTTAAGCTGGGTTTTATCCATATTCCTCAAAGAAACACAAGTCCTGATGCAATTGTGGCCAAGGAGGGTTCTGCTCTACACAAGGAACCGCACTTGGCAGAACTTGTCGTGGTTCATCCGAATTGGAAGGGTCTTTACATAGTGGGGATCTTGTTGTTTCTGACGATTTCTAAAGGGAAAAGATGCTCCAGGAGCATCAAGCTTGGAAATTCCATGAAATTCAACAGTGTGTCAGGGCATTGCTGGACCATGTCTATGTTTGGTGATAGCACTGAGGTAGTCCTTTCCACTCTAGTAAGAACTTCCTGGCAAGTCTTGTGTTTCTGTCAGCTGTGATGATCACACTTTACACTGAAGACATTTTTACTGCTTGGCTTTAAGACCAACATGCTCTCCTGGGTTTTCTCCTATTTCATTAGCCATCTCGACTCAGTTTCCTTTCTGGCCTTTTCTTCATCATCCTGACCCTTATGTGTTGAATCCTCAGAGCTCAGTCACTGGGCTAATTTTTCTTCCCTGCACTTTCTCCTTCATTTAAATTATCTAGTTTTCTGACTTCATGATATATGTGCTGTGCTGTCCAGATTGTATGTCCATAAATCCTGTGTCTGCATGCTTGTCTAATCTTCCTTCTTGGAGATTAAATAAACCTCTCAGATGTCACATCCAGGTCCACACTGGTGCTCTTCTGCCTAAAACCTGCTTCTTCCCCATCTCAGGCAAAGGTAACTTCCTCCGAGTTGCTCAGGCCAAAACATTTCTGGTGCTGTCTTCACTGTCTCTTTTTTCCCATACCCATGTCCCATGTGTCCCTGTTAGCTCTGCCTTTCTGGCTTGGCCACTCCCTGATAGCCTGGGCTGGCTTCACGGCTTCTTCCCTGGCTCAAGCCACCATCACGAGGTGTCTGGATGTCACGGTGGCATTCTGACAGGTCAGCCCGCATCTGTTATCCTGATTTTAGTAGAAAGGGATGCAGCTAAAACGTGACTCAGATCGTATCACTCATCCCAACATCATCCGGTGACTTCTTATCACTTTTTTTTTTTTTTGAGGCAAAGTCACGCTCTGTTGCTCTGGAGTGCAATGGCGTGGTCTCAGCTCACCACAACCTCCGCCTCCCAGGCTCAAGCAATTCTCCTGCCTCAGCCTCCTGAGTAGCTGGGACTACAGGCAGGTGCCACTCACCACATCCGGCTAATTTTTGTATTTTTAGTAAAGATGGGTTTCATCATGTTGGCCAGACTGGTCTTGAACTCCTGACCTTGTGATCCACCCTCCTTAGCCTCCCAAAGTGTTGGGATTACAGGTGTGAGCCACCGCACCCAGCCTCTTATCACTTTCATAGTAAGAGCCACAAACTCATGGTGGCTTCCGTGGCCCATATAATCTGGCCCCCACTGCTTCTGAAGATTCGTCTTCTCCCAGCCCTCGCTCATTCCGCCCCCGTGCAGGGGTCCCCTTGCTGCTTTGCAAGACCTTTCATCTCTGGATTTCTGCACTTGCTTTTCTTCCTGCCTAGAACCTTCTCCCCTTCAATTCCACATGGCTTATCCTCCGTACATTCCTAAATTCTCTGCCTAAAGGTCTTCTCTGTGAGGCTGTCTCTGACTATCCTACTGAAAATGGAAGCCCAACAGGTCCTTTTTTTTCCTTCTCATTCTCCTCTGCAGTGTCGTACTTCTTATGTGCTCTGTCATTTTCTTGTTTATTTATTATCTGTGCTACCAAGATATAAATTCCTTTAGTCCAGGGACTTTGGTCCATATTCATGATCTCAAGGCTGAGAACCTGTTGGAATGCAGGTCTGAATAAATAAAAGTTTGAATCAGCTTTGCATCCTTGTGTAGACATAATGGAGCATGTTTGCTGCAGGACAAGCCAACATTCCCAGAGCGAAGAGAGATGGAGGAAAAAAAGAGGGATGGTCAGGTCAAAGCTGGGGACATTGCTTCATACAGAGTCACTGACCTAGCCTTGAGGGACGTTCAGGACCCAGGCCAAGGAACAGGCTCAAAACAGGCTGAAGAATCCATGAATGCCATCAACCTGTTTTCTCAGGCAGCCATGACAGGCTGCTACAGACGGTGTGACTCAAACACAGAAAGTTGTTTTCTCACTGTTCTGGAGGCTGCAAAGTCCACAATCAAGTCTCTGGTGAATTTGGTTGCTGGTGAGAGTCCTCTTCCTGACTCGCAGATGGCAACCTTCTTGCTATGTGATCACATGGAGGGAGGGGAGGCGAGGGAGAGAAGACAGGGAAGAAAGAACAAACTCTCTGATGCCTCTCCTGTAAGGGCCCCACCCTCACAGCTTCATCTCCCTCCCTCCTTCCCTCCCGAAGGCCCCACCTTTAAGTACCATCACATTAGGGGTTTGGGCTTCATCATGGGAATTATCAAGGGAGAAAAGCATTTGGTATACAACACAACCGAATTGAGATGGTTAGCAATGATGTGGGACAGATGGGCTGATTCATTAGTTGAGTTGCAAGGGAGACTTTATATTAAAGAGGAGGAAGAACTTACATCAAAGAAGACGTGAGAGGCATCCTGGGCAAATGCAATGTGTAGACTTGATCGGGTTTGTGATTAAATGAACATAATGTAAAAAAAATTACAAGACAGTTGAGGAAGTATAAATGCTGACTGGACATACAGTGACATTAAGAAATTACTGTTAAACAGTTTTGATGTGACAGTGATATTGTAATCCTGTTTTAGTGTCACAGAGTGAATTATTTATAGATGTGTTAAATGCAGTATTTAAAATAATCCATGGTGGGAGGAGTGGGTGGGTATTAGGGGAAACAAGTTGACATGACCCTTGTAATTGTTGAACTTGGATAATGGACACAGGGGGTTTGTTATACTATATTCTCTACTTTTACATATTCTTAAAATTTTCCCAACTGGATAGTTAAATTTTTTTTACTAGATAGTTAAAAATATAACAGAAACCACCTTGGGCACTTAGAGCTTTTGTTTTGTTTTAGTTTTAACATTTTAGAGTTTAGAGGTGTGTGGAGTTTAGGGAAATGAAGAGATGAGACTTTTAAGGTTAACGACTCTGAGAGACTTATCTGAAGAGTGCAACCCAGGCTTTCTATTTGCTTTTACAGGTTGTGCGAAATGTTTTTCAATTATGAGACAAAACGTGCATTAGAAACACTTCAAGAAGAAAAGCCTGAGCTGACCATTGTCTTTGAGCCCTCTTGGTAGGGGCAGAAACAGGGCTGCCAGGCACCAGTGTTCTCTGGCCCCTCCAGCCAGGGGGCCTTGGGTGGGGTGAGCTGTAGTCCATCCAGCCCAAAGATCCTTCCAGTGGGGTGTTGGAGAAGAGAGCTTGCTGATGACGCCTTGGTGTAGAGAACGGGCATCTCCTTTATGCCCAGGTGAGGAAGACCCGAGGGCAATGAAAGCTTCTGGATGTTGTTCTCATCACAACGCGTCAATTAGAGGATGTTCCTCTTGGTGACCTCATGTAATTAGCTCATTCAATAAAACACTTTCTTTGTCTTTATTTTTCTCTCCTCACTCTCAAACTTTCTTTTTCCTGTCTTTTTTTCTTCTTTGTTCTCCTTTTGCTCATATAATCATTCCTGCCATCTTTCTATTAACTGACCATTACACAGAACTAATTGACTATATATTATGTTGAAATTTTGTGGCAGCTACTTATTTATTTAAAATTTTTTTGTAATAGTTATGTTTTCTAATAAGAATAATTCATGCTTTTTGTAGCTAGTTCAAAATTCAGGAATATGTAAAACTTTTTTGTATTTATTGAATTAAATTGTTGCCTTTTCTTAATTTCAAAAAAGAGTACCTAGAAATTTTTTAAATTATTTATTTAAACCACTTAAGATAAATTAAATTGCTTTGTGCATTTTAAAAATCGCTTTGGCAAATGATTCAATTGTAGAAAATTTTTAAAAAATTACCTCACACTAACTGTAATGAGTGGAATTTCAGCTTTGGTAGGATAAGAGCATGAAAGTCATGGAGGGAAAGGTTTTAGAGTGTTGGAGCCTGCACTCATAATCGGAAGTATTAGGTAGAAGATGCATCTTGTCTTCATTTGATAACAACTTATTTTGGATTTATCACATCTGAGGAACGGTTCATCTATCATACTTCAAAGAACATTAAGTTATAAGGAAATATTTACTAATTGCCTCTCTACACATGGACAACTCTTGAACCACATGGAATTGCTATGGATGGTAATACTGCTTCCTCTATACAATTAACCATCAAAGTAGCCACACTTGGCTACTCAAGTTGTGGTCTAGGAACTGTAGCTATAAGGAACTTGTGTAAGATTGTAAATCAATCACATCATCAAACATGCTTTTTAGATAAGCGGACATTTAAAAAAAAACCTTAAGACTGTTTTCATAAGGGAAACAGTATGAGATTTCCATTCTGTTGCAAACCGTCTTGTTAGCACTTCTGAGCAGCACTGACTGGAGACTGGCTTCCTGCATCTTGGTGAACTATTACTGACTGCCTTCCTGCTACAAACACTTTGATACCCTGTGTACACAATGTAATCAGAAACACACAGCTGGGCTTGAAAGAGAGAAAGACAACCTTTGGGCATTAGGGTGTTAAAACTGGCCAGGTTGCTAAGAATGCCATTATTCCATTCCTTTTTATGGCTGAATAGTGTTCCATTCTCTCTCTCTCTCTCTCTAAATATATATATATATATGTATGTATCACATTTTCTTTATCTGCTTGTTGATTGATGGGAATTTGGGCTGGTTCCATATTTTTCCAATTGCAAAATGTGCTGCTATAAACATGCATGAGCAAGTATCTTTTTCATATAATAACTTCTTTTCCTCTGGGTAGATACCCAGTAGTGGGATTGCTGGATCAAATGGTAGATCTACTTTTAGTTCTTTAAGGAATCTCCACACTATTTTCCATAGTGGTTGTACTAGTTTACATTTGATGGAAAACCTTTCTATAGAAGAAAATTTGAACTACAGAAAAAAAGTCCAAAATCACAGGAAAGAGATAGCAATCGACTTCATTCTTGGGATTGTTTGAAAAAGTCATATAAAATTTGTGGAAATTTAAGTATATGGAGAAGAGTACATATTTATTATAAGTAAAATAAGATTGTATTTCAGCTTCATCTCGTGTATACTTAAGAGTAATAGAAAAGAGAGAGAAACTTGAAAAACAAATGGGGAGAAAATAAAAGAAATATAGGAAGAGGAAAAGAGAAAAGAATCAGGAAACTGGAAGTTAAATAATTCAACAAATATTGAAGTCTATTTAAACAACTCTTGAAAACATATGGCCTCTTAGAATTACACTTTTAAAATGGACTTTATTTGTAGATGTGGGATTTGGGGTATTATGACCGGAAGTGAGATGTTTGGGGACAGGCTTTGAGCTTTCTGGGTATTAGCTCCTTAAGTGAAAGATGCTCTGAGCACACAGTAGGTGTGTCCAGTGTTCCTCAGTTGATGGAGATGCCACTTCTCAGGTCCTCACCATCCGCAGAGGCTCCAGATCCTGGCCAGGAGTCTCCTCAGAGCTCCCTTCACGTCTCTATTCCTCAGGGTGTAGATGAAGGGATTGAGAGTCGGGGTGATCATGGAATAGAAGAGAGAAATAAATTTGCCCTGCTCTTGGGAGTAGCTGGAAGGGGGCTGCAGATACATGTAAATGGCAGGTAGGTAGAAGAGGGAGACGACCATCAGGTGGGAGGAACAGGTCCCAAAGGCCTTGCGTTGTCCCTTGGAGGACTGGATCCTGAGCACTGTGCGGGCAATAAAACCATAGGAGAGAAGGATGAGAACCAGGGGCACCAACACAAAGAAGGCCACCAGCACAGCCAGCGTGGCATCGTTCACAGTGGTGTCGGCGCACGACAGCTTGATCATGGCCGGCACCTCGCAGAAAAAGTTGTTCAGCACCTGCCGCCCACAGAATGGCAACTGCACGGTCAGGACCACCTGCACCAAGGAGTTTCCGAAGCCACTGAGCCAGGCCAGAGCCACAAGCTGCTGACAGAGAGCACGGTGCATGAGGACGGCGTAGCGGAGGGGCTCGCAGATGGCCACGTAGCGGTCCAGGGCCATGGCGGCCAGGACGACGCATTCCGTGCATCCCAGCCAGTGGAAGACTGCGTACTGCACCGTGCAGCCTCCATAGCTGATGGTCTTCTTGGAACTGCCCATGTTGACCAGCATCTGAGGGACAGTGGTGGTGGTGTAGCAGAGGTCCAGGAAGGACAGGTGGCTGAGGAAGACATACATGGGGCTGTGGAGCTGAGGATCCAGCCGGGATGCCAGGATGATGGCGACGTTCCCCAACATGGCCAGCACGTAGGACAGCAGGAGGACCACGAAGAGCGGGAGCTCCAGCCACGGCCGGTCAGACACACCCAGGAGGATGAAGGCTGGAGGGGGGTCCCCTGAGAAGCTCTGGTTGTCACTTTTCATGTTGCAGCATTTTCTGGCGCCTGTGACACATTGAGAATGTTGGAATGAATACTACCTGAGAAGAGGAATTGATCACATTCCTCCTTCTTGCATCCATTCTTCCCTACCCAGGTTATAGCCTGATTCTCCCTATCTCTGTGGAGACAATGGGACGTGGAGGGGCCAGAACCGGGAGCCCAGCGGCAGCCTCTGTGTCTTTGCTCTCCTTCCCCCTTGGTGCCTCAACTAAGCCATTTAATTTCTTGAACTTCTGCATCGGCAGAATGGGGAGAAATACCTGCTTCAATTGCAAAGATCTGGGGACAATAGAGACATTATGTGACAAGGTACCTTGTGAATGACAGTTGTGTTCCAGTTAGAGCAAAACCCCAGAGCTGCCATCACCATCAGAATGTTTGATTTCTCTTCCATGCACATCGACAGGGAATCATCCACCTACGCAGGTGTTCTCATCTTGGGAGGCAGTGGTAGGAGGGAGGTGGGTGGTGACATGAGACAAGCAGGAGGACTTTGTGAGCAGCGGGGGCCACAGCCTCGCCCCTCCTCGGGCTTGCATCTCGCTCTCAGGACTGCACATGCACAGGCAGCTCCACCGCTCTCACTGGCGGCAAAGACAGCATGAGTCTATCCTGCAAGTCTCTGGAGTAGGGGAGCTGAGTTGTGTTCTATTTCAGCCCCTGAATTGGCCATGGTATTTAATGAGACCCCAGCGCATAGAATTTTGAGCACAGGGAGAAAGTTCTTGATTGGCGTAAGAAACCTAGCCCTGGCGGGTGGATCACGAGGTCAGGAGTTTGAGACCAGCCTGGCCAATGTGGTGAAACCTTGTCTCTACTAAAAACACCAAAAAAGTTAGTTGGGTGTGGGGGCGGGCACCTGTAACCCCAGCTACCCGGGAGGCTGAGGCAGGAGAATCGCTTGAACCTGGGAGGCGGAGGTTGCAGTGAGCCGAGATCGTGCCGTTGCACTCCA